CTCCCTGAGATGGAGCCCCCACCCTTCCACCCTCTTCCCTACTGAGCTTCAGCCGGCTTCCACCCAGGAGATTTTTCCTTGGGGGTCTGCCTGTCTTCATCCTTTTGAAAATCACCCTCCTGGAGACAAGGTCAGAGTCAGGTGACCCCTCCTCCCGCCTGAAAACCGGCCTTCAGCTGTGTGTGGCCCAAGATAGATTACCCTCCTCCTCGCCACAGGGCACGTGAAGTGAGCAAACGCCGCAGGAAGAGCATCCCGACAACGACCACAGCTCTGCTCTAATGGGGCACAAGAAGATTCTAGAACTTCTCTCCCAACCCCTGGCTTGTAGTGATGGGGCGGACACAGGTCAGTTCAAACACGTGAAGGTCTAGAGCTGTGTGTCCAAGACGGTGGCCACTCCACATGCGGCCAGTGTGACTGAGGCACTAAGTGTACATTCTATTTAGCTTCAGTTCATTTAGATTTTAAAATGGAAGCCGTGTAAAATGCCTTTTTGTTACACAGAAATTGGTTTTGGTGGGATGACGCTTGGTTTCAACTCATATATCATGTAAGATATTCACGTTGCAGGGCTCATATCAGCACATATGTTGGTTCTAGTATTTATCAATACTTTACAAATATTGTTTACATGTTGAAAAGATACTATTTTGATACGTTGGATAAAACAAAATATATTGCTAAATTTAAATTTACCTCTTTCTTTTTACTGTCTTAATGTGGGCTACTAGAAAGTTTTACATTACTGGCCTGGCCAATGTTGCTCTGTGGTTGGAGTGTCCGCCTGTACACCAAATGGTCATGGGTTTGATTCCCCATCAAGGGCACATAGCTGGGTTTTGGGGTTCACTCCCGGTCTTGGAGAGTTTGGGATGCAAGCAGTTGATGTGTCTCTCTCACATCAATGTTTCTCTCTCCACCTCCCTCCCCTCCCACTCTCTGAAAAGCAATGGAAAAATATCCTCAGGTGAGGATTTCCAACCATACAAAAGAAAATTTTACATTACATACATGGCTTGCATTATACAGGGTGGGGCACAAGTAGGTTTACAGTTGTGAGTATGTGAAACTGAGTTTATTCTTGTATTATTATTATTTATTAAGTATTCCATTATTTTTCATACAAACAACTGTAAATCTACTCTTATCCCACCCTGTATCCTTTTTTAAAAAAATCTGTTTTTATTGATTTTAGAGAAAGAGGAAGGAAAAGAAAGATAGAAACATCGATGCATCAACATCAATAGACTACCTCTTGCACGTCCCCTACGAGGGATCAAGCCCGCAACCTGGGCATGTGCCCTGATCAGGAATCAAACCTGTGACCCCTGGGTCTGCACTCAACCACTGAGCCACACCAGCCGCTCCACCTTGTATTTTTTTGTTTAATATATTTTATTGATTTTTACAGAGAGGAAGGGAGAGGGATAGAGAGTTAGAAACACCGATGAGAGAGAAACATCGACCAGCTGCCTCCTGCACACCCCTTTCTGGGGATGTGCCCACAACCAAGGTACATGCCCTTGCCCGGAATCGAACCTGGGACCTTCCAGTCCGCAGGCCGACGCTCTATCCACTGAGCCAAACCGGTCAGGACCGCCTTGTATTCTAGAACAGTGCTAGCCTATGGAACAACTGAAGGTCTTCAAAGGCCAGGAGGGCAGAGCTGCCGCAGGTCCGGGCAGGACAAGAGGAGGCTGGGAGAGGGGCTCACATGCCGCATGCCTCTGGTTTTCATCCAAGGGCTTAATTTTTTCCAAACAACCAGGAAGAATGAAAATGTTTAAAGCTTGAATTTTTTATTCGGTAATAATATTTAAAATGTTCACCTATTGCCAACTGGCCTTCTGCCCCTAAAGTAAGTTCTTCAACTAGGGAATAGAGCGACCTTTGTGTACAATGATCTAGGGCAGGACTGGCTCACCTGCAGCCCCAGACTCCTGGGACCACTTGGAGCTACTGCCAAGAGTCCCCAAATCCATGCAGGCCGAGCCCTGCCATTCGATTGAGTAAGCAACCTCCGGCACTACCATGTTTCAAAAGGATGGGTGTTGCTTGATTAATGAAATGTAAGTTCATCTTCATGTGTTGCTGAATTCAGAGTAGTTACGGCAGTGGTTCTCCACCTTCTGGCCCTTTAACTACAGTTCCTCATGTTGTGACCCAACCATAAAATTATTTTCGTTGCTACTTCATCACTGTAATGTTGCTACTGTTATGAATCGTCATGTAAATACCTGATCTGCAGGATGGTCTTAGGCGACCCCTGTGAAAGGGTCGTTCGACCGCCAAAGGGGTCTCGACCCACAGGTTGAGAACCGCTGAGTTACGGGATCAGGATACATTTTTTCAATCAAAAGAATCAAAAACTCAGTTACTCATGCCTGGGCTCTGTGGAGTGGTGGGTCTTTGCTAGTCCATTCCGTGCCTTTGTGCAAATTAGAGCAAGGTATGCCCGGGGTACGGCCTGCACCAGCAGCCTGCTGCAGCCTGCTACAGTTTACTATTCAAAAAGCTCTTCACACTGGGAAAGGCTTAACTATCCTGAGAAACACCCAACAGCCAGCAAATAAGAAACAGATGCTCCACCTCCAAGGAGCCCTGCTCTTGGCATTGTCCAGGGTCAGAGTTCATGCTTTTGACCTGGAGGCTGGTGAGGTGCACTCCTAGGTCTGGGCCAGGTCTGGGGGCTTGGGCGGGCCCACCATGGGCTCTCACACCATCTATCCCTGGGGGAGCACAAACAGGAGCCGATGGCCTCATTTCCCAAAGGTTCTGGAAGGAGCAAAGTGAAGTTGGAAGGAAACTGGAATCGGGATTCTTTTACCTTTAATTAAGGAATTCGCAGCGGATGGAAAAATAGGCTATGTTTCCTAAACGTGTTGGAATTTATTTAAATTTAGAACCGGGTTTTTCAACCTCGGCACTATGGACATTTTGTTGATCCTTTTTTTTTTTTAAATATATTTTATTGATTTTTCACAGAGAGGAAGGGAGAGAGATAGAAAGTTAGAAACATCGATGAGAGAGAAACATCGATCAGCTGCCTCCTGCACATCTCCCACTGGGGATGTGCCCACAACCCAGGTACATGCCCTTGACCGGAATCGAACCTGGGACCTTTCAGTCCGCAGGCCGACGCTCTATCCACTGAGCCAAACCGGTTTCGGCTGTTGATCCTTTTTTTGAAGGGGCTGTCCAGGCAGCACCAGATGTTTAGCAGAAACCCTGGCCTCTAACCCACCAGACGCCAGTAGCACCCCCTCCCAATTGCGACAATCAAAAACGTCTCCAAACGCTGCCAAATGTCCCCCGGAGGGTAAAACTGCCCCAGATGAGAACCACCGACTTAGAATGTCCAAACATGGTTTGTGGCATTAGCTGATTTCCATCCTTACATATCCAGCTGCAAGTACAGGGACTGGAATCTGGCGCATGTGGATTCCAATCCGGCCCACGCATTACCAGCTGGGGACCGGCGGCAAGTTACTTAACATCTCTGTACCTCGATTTCCTCCCCTGTAAAATGGGGCAATAACTGTGCTGTCCTCAGAGAGATGTGAGGATTGAGAAGCTAAGGCTCCTAATAGGGGATCAGGAAACAGCAGCTAGCGCACTCCCTGCGCACTGGCCTCATACAGGATCCCTGGGTTTCTTCTCATTCCTGGGCCTCTGTCATGTGACAGCCAAGACCTGGGCTCTGAGCTCAGAGCCCAGAGTTCACACTCCAGATACAAGGTGGAACAAGCTGCTTAACTCTGAAGCCCTAGTGAGAGAGAGAGAGAGAGAGAGAGAGAGAGAGAGAGAGAGGACTCAGGAAAGAAATGAGCACGCAGGCCCAAGCCTCTCCACCGTGATCAGGTGCTGCGAGCCTGCGTGTGAACGTGGGGAAAAGCAAAGTTTTCTAAAACCGCAACAAAATCATGGTCTTTCTTAACCTTCCTCCCCTACTGCTGCCCCACCAATAGGGAATGTGCTGGAACCCCCAAGCCCTCGTACCTCATGTTGTGGCCGCCTGAGGAATTCCATCTGTTCCTCCCACCTACCTCCTGGGAATCCTCTTGCTTCTGGAAGCTCTCCTGGTCCCCTGGGGCTGTGCTGTTCCCAGGGAGTCACCCCAGGTCTCGCTGGGAGAATGAAGCCAGACTTCCTTCCCTGAGGCGGAGCAATGCCCTCCCTCCCAGCGGTAGGTACGGGCCTAATGCGGCCACAGAGTCCTGCGAGCCTTACTGTCCTCAGCTGTGAAATGGGCGGTCAGCCAGCCTGGCAGGACGCGGACGCAGGTGCTCCTCATTCACGCCACGCGGGCACTCCTCTCTCCCTGCCTCTCCACCCCACTTTAAAACAGGCCTGTTTATCTTTCTAAACCGTGCACTCCCCCAGTCAATGACTATATCCTGTTCACGCTCTCCCCTCCCCGCCACTAATTCACAATTGAATACCCTCTATTCTACATAATCACATGTTCCATCGCTCACAGCACATTAGCAAAGTCACTAGGAAAGCTGACGGCCAGCCAAAGGTGCTACAGAAGCACAACGTTCTGACAGGGAGAGAGCCAACGGCCAGCAGTGCTTCTCTTCAGGAAACAGTTCTACCAAACACACGTGAATAGAAGCAACTTTAAAGGTTCAAGACATAGCAAACGCACGGCTGACTCCCAACTGCCATTTAGCATGCTCTGCATTACGGGATATAAAAACCACCCCCATCTATGGAATGTCGGGCTGACAGCTAAGACAGTCAACGCCTCCATATTCAAGATCCCACTATTTCTGGTTGTGCCAAAAAAATAAACAACCGGCAAATTATTCATCTCTAAAAAAAAAAAAAAAGCATTCACACTTTAAAAAAGTGGGATGAGGTGGAACTCCCTCCTTCTTAATAAGGTGTCTAGAGCTACTAAAAGCCTTGCATGTGCAGAACAGTTGCTAAAACGATTCCCCTGGATTGTGCAAGCAGGGAGACAGGGACCACTGCTGAGCCCTGGCCTGTACCATTCACCAGACTTGGCTTCTTTCTCTCCTGCTGCATCGGAGGCTGGACTCCCCCGCGCCCCTCCCCCGCCTTCAGTTTCTCCGTTTCCCGCAGGCAGATCTTCTGTGGGCTCCTGGTCAGCCCCTGGCGCCTGCTTTCCCTTTGCTCCCCTTTTCCTTTCCCTTTGCACCTTTTTGGCTGCAGATTTACCCTCTCCTGCCGCCTTTTTTGGCTTCGAGTCCACTTTTGCAGGAGCAGGTGTGGCTGACAACCTGGCCCACCTCCTCTTGGGTGCTTCTTGGGCCGCCCCCTCGGCAGAGCTGACCTTCCTCTTGGGCATCGTGGAGGCGGCCCGGCCCAGAGTCCGGAGAACAGGGGCTGCCAAGCTGCCGGGGCCCGCGATGGGGGCAGTGGGAGGACCTGCCCTATTCATACTTGTATCCCATAACATAGTTCCTGCCACAAGGCAAGTCCGCAATCAGCGTTTGTTGAATGAATGAATGAATGAATGGGGAGGAGGGATTGGAGCACGTGACCACTTTAAACTCTCCAAGTGGGACAGGGTGGGGGTTTCTTTCCTTCTCGCCCTCCTCTGGCCCTACCCCACCTCGCCCTTTGCTGGGAAAATACACTTTATAAGATGAAGCAAAGACTGTGAGGTGAAGCAAGAGCAAGTCCAACACCTGAGACATGACCCGCGTGACTTCCAGCAACACTTTTCCAGGCTGCACTCGACATGCACCTGGGTAAATAGATACATGGATACTGTTCCAGAAGGGAGCCAAGGGAACAAAGAAGACCCTTTGGGGAAGTGCAGCGGCTGGTTTCAAAATAGCCTGAGGCCCTGGGAAGATGGGGTAGAAAAGTGAGTCTCCTCTTCTCCACAGCTTGGCGCTCACCGGGCCTCAACAGCCCATCCACAGTCCCTGGGACTAACCCAGGGTTTCCGTGCAATGAGAAGTGGGGAGGCTCACCGCCTCCCACCGAAAATCCTCGTCACAGCCCAGACACAGGCTTCTCACCGTGCCCCAGGGATCAAAAGTTGACTCAGGGCTTGAACATCTTGCTCAAGAACATTTGTTCCCCGAATTCCTCTCTGAGCTTTCCTTTGCTTGGTTTCAACTTTTAATTTTGCTCTAGTCTCCAAGGCCCTAAACCAGGCTTCCTGTGGTGTGTGCTCAGGACCATTTATGGATGAAAGTCCTACACATCCCTTGCTGTCTGTCAGTTAAGCTATTAACAGGGAATCAACGTCAACTGTGGGAATCAAGCTGAGCACAGATACGGTCCTTTGCAGCACTCCTTCAGTTATTTCAGGAAACACCCCTTTGTTCTAAAGTAGTGTATCAGCTGGGGCCCAGCCTTCCACAGGCATGCCCTGGGAGTCTAAGCTACTCTCTTCCTCATTCTCGTTTCCATTGCCTATTCCACGGTACTTACCTCTAGAATAGTGGCCAGAAAACTGGTAAGGGTTGCACGTAGGCACCAACACCCCAGACTTTCAATTCAGATGGAAAGAAAGAAACTCCATTTTTGCTGTATTAGTTTCCGATGGATGCTGTAACAAATTACCACACACTTGGCTGGATGGTCAGATCTAAAATTAGTTCACCAGGCCAAAATCAAGGTGTCTGTAGGGCCACACTCCCTCTGGAAGCTCTGGGGGAGAATCCTTTTCCTTACCTTTTCCAGCTTTAATTCATGAAAGCCAGTGAACAGTGAAGAGCTATGGACACAAAGAAGGGCAAATGAACTAAATTCCTGAGAACACTGGGCACAGAAAAAAAAAGAAAAGAAAGACCACTGGAGAATTTGAATTCAGTCAATATAACTGGTCTAAACAGAAGCACGCAGGAGAAAAAATGATTCAAAACAAAATATTAGGAACTCAGGAGTCAATATCAAACAATCTAGCATATGTGGAATGAAAGAAAGAAAACAAACCGGGCAAAGAAAGAATAAAAAACTGCGCAAAATAATTATTGGAAGACTTAATAGTCAGAAACTTCCTAACTTAACAAAAGACATTAAACCACAGGTTCAATAAACTCAGCAAATCCCAAGCTTTGTCTGAATACAAAGATCGCTCCCAGGCACATCATGGTCACTGAAAAATCAAAGACAGAAGGAAAGCTCATAAAAGAAACCAGAGGGGGAAAGAGACACTTTATATTTGGGGGCAGAGGAAGGAGAGACATAGATGGCAGTTGACTTCTAATCAGAAATAAGAAAACCTAGAAGATAATAGAATAATATCATTAAAATGATGAAAGAAAAATAATAAATGTCAACTTAGAAGCTTATAGCCCGTGGAAATATACTTCAAAATGAGGGAGAGAAAGAAAAAAAAGATATTCTCAAACAAACAAAATCTGAGAGAATGTGATACCAACAAATCCAAAGCTCAAGAAGTAAGCCATTCGGTTTACATCACTACAATCTCGACAGGTTTTTTAAGCTAAAGAGACAGTATCTCATGTGGGAAATGGAATCTACAGGAAGGAATGAAAAGCACTGGAAAAAGCAAGTATGTGGGTAAGTATAAAAGATTATTTTTAATTTTAAAAAGATGTCTGAATGTTCAAATGAAAATAATAGCAAGTATTATAACACATGTAGAAGTAAAACTCATGACAAAAATACCACTGAAGAATGGAGGGATAAAATGCAATTGCAGTGTTTAAGGTTCTTGCTTTGTCCAGGAAGTGCTGTAATATTTATTCAATGTTGACAATGATATATTAAGGTTGCATATTGAAATAAAACAAAGAGGCACAGCTAAGAATCAAAAGAGGAGATAAAAGGAATATGAAATAATAATCTATGAGAGGACAGGAAAGAAGGAACCAAGAACACATGGGACAAATATGAAACAAAGCAAGATGATTCATAAACCCACCCTATCAGAAATTATATCAAGATGGCGCATGTGTACTGGTGGCGGTGGTGGTGGGAGCGAAGGTCTGTGCCCCGAAAGCAGACCGGCGAGAGGGCGACCAAAGCACCGGCCGTCTCTGCCACTTCCGTGGAGGAGTTCAGGGGGATGTCGCTGCTGGTTGGGCCGCGTCCCAGGGATCACTACTCTCGGAATCAAACATAAATCCAAACACTGCATATCAGAAACAACAAGAGACATGAACCCTTTGGTCAGAAGCTGAACACTGGGATCTGGCTCTACATTTTCAGGAAAAAGCTGGTGGTGATGGGATCTGGGGGGAAACTGGTTACATTCAAGGTTCTGCTCTATCAGTGGAAGTCACACAGGGCCTCACTGACAAATCAGAAGAAGAACGATTTGAAGACATGCCTGAAACCAGTCCCCTGACTGATCTGCCCACATGTAAACGCAATAAACTTGAAGAGATTGCTGACTCAGTCGCCTCAGCTCTCTCCTCACCTATCCGCAGGGAAAAGCTGGCTCTGGCCTTGGGAAATGAAGGTTATATTAGAAAGCTACTGCAGCTCTTCCAAGCTTGTGAGACCCTGGAAAACACCGAAGGCTTACACCATGTGCATGAAATTGTTAGAGGAATCTTATTCCTAAATAAGGCAACTCTGTTTGAGGTAATGTTTTCTGATCCATGTACCATCCATGTCGTTGGATGCCTTGAATATGACCCTGCTTTGGCTCAGCCAAAAAGGCATAGAGAATTCCTGACCAAAACTGCAAAATTTAAGAAAGTTATGCCAATGACAGACTCTGAATGAAGGTAGAAAGTACATCAGACTTACAGGATACAGCACATTCAGGACATCGTTTTGCCTATGCCATCCGTTTTTTTGTTTTTTAAATATATTTTTATTGATTTCAGAGAGGAAGGGAGAGGGAGATTGAAACATCAATGATGAGAGAGAATCAATGATGAGAGAGAATCACTGATTGGCTGCCGCCTGCACACCCCCGACTGGGGATGGAGCCTGCAACCCAGGCATGTGCCCTTGGCTGGAATCAAACCTAGGACCCTTCCGACTACAAGCCGACACTCTAGCCCAGCCGTGGGCAAACTACGGCCCGCGGGCCGCATCTGGCCCGTTTGAAATGAATAAAACTAAAAAAAAAAAAAGACCGTACCCTTTTATGTAATGATGTTTACTTTGAATTTATATTAGTTCACACAAACACTCCATCCATGCTTTTGTTCCGGCCCTCCGGTCCAGTTTAAGAACCCATTGTGGCCCTCGAGTCAAAAAGTTTGCCCACCCCTGCTCTAGCCACTGAGTCAAACCTGCCAGGGCTATGCCATCCATTTTGAAGAGAATTTTCTTTCTGCTCTGACATCTTTTATTTAATTCAACAAATTTTAGATAGCATGTTGCAGGAAGATGAGGAGCTTCTGTCTGGTTTTGGCACAATTAACACATGATGGTAAACTGTGTGAGTTGACATTACAACCTCAAAACAGGGATGCATTTTCCAAATCTTTGGCAAAGTTCAGGATTCTTCCTGCTCTTGAAATTGTAATGGGCATGGATGATTTGCAGGTCAGGTCAACTGCTACAGATACATTTTCTTACCTAATAGAGTTTAGTCCACCCATGGCCTGAGAATTGGTCATTCAAAAGCCCACAGAGTGACCATGATACCCTTCCTTCTCATTAATGTAGTAACTGAACAAATGATCTGTGATCCTGATCTAGGAGGTGCTGTTCAGTTCATGGGACTTCTTTGTACTCGAATTGACCCAGAGAACATGCTGGCTACAACTAATAAAACTGAAAAAAGGTCAATTTCTACATTTCTTCTCCAACCATTGTATGCATGTCCTCACAGCCCCACGTTTGACCAAAACTTCAGAAGACAAAAGGGAAAAGAATCATATAGTTGGATCTAACAAAAAACAGCACCATTTGTCCTGATAATTATCAAACAGCATAGCTGCTTGCCTTAATTTCAGAGCTACTCGTAGCATTTTGTGTGGAACATCATGCATATCACATAAAAATTATATTATGAACAAGGATTTGCTAAGAAGAGTCTTGGTCTTGATGAATTCCAAGCACACTTTCCTGGCCTTGTGTGCTCTTCGTTTTATGAGGCAGATAATTGGCCTTCAAGATGAATTTTACAGTCGTTACATCAACAAGAGAAGTCTTTTTGAGCCAGTTGTAAATGCTCTTCATGCTCTTTTGGATACAGGAACTTGGTACAATCTGTTAAATTCAGCTGTAATTGAGTTCTTTGCATTTGCAAGAATGGAAGATATTAAGTCTTCTACTGCACGTATAGTTGAAAACTCTTATAAATCACTTGAATTGATGGAATATGTTCGGACATTCCAAGGATTAAAGACTAACTATGAGCAAGAAAAAGACAGACAAAATCAGAACCTGATCAGTGTG